CTGGAAGGGAGCCAAGTGCCGTTTATCAGGATTTGGGAGATGCAGTGGGCAAGCCTGTTTTGTGGAGAAGAGCTGAGTCTGGGAGGACAGAGCCTCCAGATGGGCATTGAGGTGAACAAATGGAGCCAGGAGAGGCGACAGCTATGTTTTCAGTGTCTGAGGCCACCCAGTGGGGAAGGGGACCCACCTCTCTGGCCTCCTTCCTCTCTGACCTTTTTGCTCTCTCCAGTTTTTAGAACTTGAATCTTCTTTTTAAAATTCTCTTTACCCACCCCCTCCATGCTCATCCCAACAGTAATTATAATTAGGCTGTTCTCCTGGCCCACATGTCCTCAGAGACAACTGTAATTTGGGCCAATCCCAGGAAAATCAATGGAAGCCAGAAAGATTAGGGTCAGTTTTGAGGCAGGCTTATCTCTGGCCTTCTGCATCATGGAGGAGAGGTGCTAGATGAGTGACCAGGATACTGGCTCCTTGTGCTGCTCCCACCCTGTTCCTGAGCAGCCCCTCCTTTCCCTCCCAGTCTTGCTGGAATGAGTATCTGACAACTCGAATCGAGCAGAACCTTGTGATGAATTGCACCTGCCCCATTGCTGACTGCCCTGCCCAGCCCACGGGAGCCTTCATTCGTGCCATTGTCTCCTCACCAGAGGTCATCTCCAAGGTACACCCTCCTCTGAGAGCGGCTCTGGTGCACAGCCAGAGGGGCAGACCCCAGGGAATGGGCTGACTTGCGGCGTGCTGGGGGTCCTGGAGCTATGGCATCCTGGAGAGCCATGCACTCACCAGGTGGCACCTGTGTCCCCACAGTATGAGAAGGCCCTCCTGCGTGGCTATGTGGAGAGCTGCTCCAACCTGACCTGGTGCACCAACCCCCAGGGCTGTGACCGCATCCTGTGCCGCCAGGGCCTGGGCTGCGGTACCACCTGCTCTAAGTGTGGCTGGGCCTCCTGCTTCAACTGTAGCTTCCCTGAGGTGGGTGCCCACCCCTGCCCTGATGCTGAGCCAGGACCCACACCCCTCCCTGCTCAGCACTGCCCCCTGCCCCCCACACGCAGATTCTGCCTTGTTCTCATCTTCTGCCATGGAAATGAGCTCTGGTCGTCCTCCAAATGGGACCTCCCTCCCTCCCGCTCTCCCTCCCACACCAGCAGGAGGGCTGCCCTCAGTAAGGGCAGGACTGTCCTCACCTTCCTCTCCTGGTCTAGGCACACTACCCTGCCAGCTGTGGCCATATGTCTCAGTGGGTGGATGATGGCGGCTACTACGATGGCATGAGTGTGGAGGCCCAGAGCAAGCACCTGGCCAAGCTCATCTCTAAGCGCTGTCCCAGCTGTCAGACTCCCATCGAGAAGAACGAGGGGTGTCTGCAGTAAGAAGGGGGTACTCTGGGCCCTGGGGGAGTCAGCAGGCACAAGAGAGGGTAGGAGGCCTGGTAGTAAGAAGGGGCAATGGTGCTTACCCGGAAGCTGAGCAACAAGGGCAGTTACTCAACCTTACCCTTTCTTGGCACCCTCCAGGGCGATTCCTGGACCTCATGTTCCTTCCCTCACTTTTAAGTCTACACTATATGGGGGATTCAGAAGCAAGGGTGCAGTCAGTAGGAGCTGGTAAGGTTAGGAGATTAAGGCCCTGGAGGGGCCAGGGACATCATCAACATCATCAGAGGTATATTTAGGCCCCTGGCTTTCCTGGTGTGGCCCTGGCCAGGGGCAAGAGCCCTCTGACCAGCTAGCTTCCTCCATAGCATGACCTGTGCCAAATGCAACCATGGATTCTGCTGGCGCTGCCTCAAGTCCTGGAAGCCAAATCACAAAGACTATTACAACTGCTCTGCCATGGTAAGGGGCTGGGCACCAAGAGTTGGGCAGAGGCCCAAGGGCAGTCAGGACAGGCCCGTTTGCTGGGCACTGTGTGCAGAGCAGCTGAAAAGTTGTTGGGACAGTGGCTCAGTGGGGAGAAGACAGAAGCCACTTAGGCCTACAGGTGCTCAGAGGTCTGTCCTGGGAGGTCTATGCACAGGGACCAGAGGCCCCAGAGTGGGACTTCTCACACCTGGGTGGCTACAGAGGCCTGGGGCAGGCTGGACATTCTTGGGGCAGCAGGGCAGAGCACCAAAGAGCAAGAACTCTGAATCAGAGCCTGGTCCCACCACTTAGTGTGTGGCTTTGGGTCAATTTACTTTGTCCACCCTTCAGCATTCTCACCTGTAAAAGGGGGTAACCATACGACCTATCTCACAGAGTTCTGATTACATGACAAAATCTGGGTAAAGTGTTGAAAGGCCTCTGTGAATGGTAGCTAGTCTGATGAGCACTGATTATCCCAGCAAAGCACAGTAGCCCCTTAATGTGTCCTTACAGGTGAGCAAGGCAGCTCGTCAAGAGAAGCGGTTTCAGGACTATAATGAGAGGTGTACTTTCCATCACCAGGCCCGGGTGAGGAGGGAGGAGAGGGGGTAGATGCCGGGAGGGGCCAGAGATCAGAACCAGATGGGTGCTGTTCTGATGGGGATGTGTGCGCATGTGCTGGCTGACCTGCCTTCCTCCACACAGGAGTTTGCTGTGAACTTGTGGAACCAAGTATCTGCCATCCACGAAGTACCCCCACCCAAATCCTTCACCTTCCTCAGCGATGCCTGCCGGGGACTTGAGCAGGCTCGAAAGGTTGAGGCGGGTGGGGGTGGGGAGGAATGTGCCAAGGGGGTCTGGTGGGCCGCGCAGCTGTCCTCTAACCTGTTTGGATGGAGGGAACAAGGAGGAAGCATGTGGGAGGCAAGTGCCTCACCTGGGCCAGGAGAAGCCTGACTTGGGCTCTCCTAGGTGCTGGCCTATGCCTGCGTGTACAGCTTCTACAACCAAGACACGGAGCAAATGGACGTGGTGGAGCAGCAGACGGAGAACCTGGAGCTGCACACCAATGCCCTGCAGATCCTCCTCGGTGAGACCCGCCCTCTGCCTGCTAGGTCCTTTCTCCTGTCCCCCTCCCCCCTCTGAGCATCCCATCCCAACAAACAGATTCAGTAGCGCCCCACCCCAGCTTCCCACCTTCACTGTCCTCTTCCTCATTCGTCATAGCCTCAGCACTGTAGGCCGTTTCCAATTCTGCTGGGCAGGTGTCCAGTACAGGCTGAAAGTGCCTAAGGGCACAGGTCTTCACCTTACCTTTTATTTGATTATGATCTGTCCCCACCACTAGAGTGTAAGCCTCTCGAGGATGGGTGTCTAGAGCTGGGCCTGCTAGATGTTGGTAGAACTTGCTAGATGTTCAGTAGGGGTTTGCTGAATGAGGGAATGAAGGGGATGGAAGAAGGGAGGGAGCCCCTGTCCCCTGTCCCCTCTGTAGAGGAGCTCCTGCTGCAGTGCAGAGACCTGGCCTCAGCCCTGCGCCTCCTGCGGGCTGACTGCCTCCACATGGGCCTGGAGCTGCTCCGGCGGATCCAGGAAAGGCTGCTTGCTATCCTGCAGCATTCCACCCAGGTAGGCTGCCCCACCCTGGACCTCCTATATCCAGCACAGCCCTTGCCCTGGGGGCACCCAGAAGGAAAGGCAGCGAGGGTGAAGGGATATTCTGAGACCTGGGTGTGTGTCCCAGCTCCTAGGCCAGCCTGCTGAATTCTGTTGGCCACTTAACTGCCTGGTATTTCCTACAAAATAAAGGACTTAACCCAGATCAAGGGTATTTGGCCAGATCCTTGCTCAGCAGAATCACTTGGAGAACTTCTCAGACATACTTCCCAGATGTGGATTCAGAATCCCAGGAGTGGGGCCAGGGAGTTACGGTCCGCTGGAGTAAAGGATCTGAGATTCTGTTTAGCTGAAATATGCTGACATTGTGTCTGAACTGAGTCCTGCTCTCAGGGAGTTGACAGACTGTCAGTCACTTGGGCAGAAAAGACATGAACATACACTAAGCTCCTGAAGCACAGGCTGGGGTGCCCAACGTCATGTCCTGTCCCTGGGGATCACCTCTGAGTTAAATCACACAGGCAGTGGTGTGTGAGGTGCTGTGGTGAGGGAGAGCAGGTGGGAGCATTCCTGCGGGGGCATGGCACCTAGGAGGCCCCAGAGAACGCTGCTGGAAGGAACGCAGGGCGCAGAGGCCCGCCGCCTCTCCTCGCCTCCTCCCACGTCCCCCCGTCTCTGCCAGGACTTCCGGGTTGGTCTCCAGAGTCCATCGTCAGAGGCCCGGGAGGCGAAAGGGTCCAATGTGCCCAGCAGTCAGTGAGTATGGGCACAGCCACAGGGGGTGGGGCACCAGGCATCCTGGGGCTGAATGGTGCCCTCTCCAGGCCCCAGGGCTCCGCGGGGCGGGAGGAGGAGGAGGCCGAGGAGGAGGATGAGCCCGAGTGGCAGCAGGACGAGTTTGAGGAGGAGCTGGACAGCGACAACTTCACCGACGATGAGGAGTCCGATAACCTGGACCGGGATGCTTTCTTCTTCGGTGACGAGGAGGAGGAGGGGGGCTATGACTGAGGGGCGGGGCGCAGGGAGCGCCTGGAGCTGCCGCTGGGCCAGGGGCCGGAGGTCACCCGACCACTGTCCCAGGTGCTCAGCGGGGGTGGTTCCCAGCACCTGCAGCGCCTTCTGTTTACTGAATAAACTTTTTTCACATACTTCTCTGAAGCAGGCTAGCAGCTTCCCCACAGGCCCGTTTCACCCCCCTTTGGTTAGACCTCCAGACTCTCCCGGCTTCAGGAGGCCCAAAGCTGATCATCTGACCGAAGCTGTGAAGGGCAGTGAAGGTCTGGATGGTTCAGCCCGCACCTGGCCCACTTGCCCCAGCCTCAGCCCAGCATCAGGGGAGCCGGCCTGCCGGCCCCCTGACGGGCCATCCCCCGTGATGGGCCTTCCTCTAAACTCCTGACTGTTCCTGGCAGGGGCCTGCGGGCATTAGAAAGCATCCTTGTCTTGGGGGCCTACAGACTCTTAAAGGGAAGTGGGGCAGGAAGAGGATATTACTGAGGACCTGCCCGGCCCACCACACATACAGGCCTCAAGTTAGAATCGTAATCATACCTTTTAATTTGGTACCGGGGCTTTTAGGCAGGAATGGTATTGGAGCAGAGTCTGGGATCAGAAGAATATAATCAAGTGGGGTTAAGTCAAATAGTTGGGTCCGGGGAGGAAGCCACCTGCTCATGAGGATCAGCTGCAAAGTATCGATCCAGCATGGCCTCCACCTCTCCCTCTTCGTAGTCCCACACCTGGAACCGCGAGCCATCTGCTGCTCCCCGGATCATGGCTGAAAGCACTGGGAAGGCAGAGGAAGGTGACAGTGCCTCCCACACTCCCTTCTCTGTGCCCTCTTCCCCAGCCCTTGTTGGGGGTTGACACTGTACTCAGAGCCCCCCCCCCCCCAAGGGGG